CTTTTCTTATATAATTTATAGAGTAATATAATGTTAATTATAAGTTACTTTTTACTAGTAGTGCCTAGCTTAATAAAGTAATTATATAAAGACCTTAAATTTATACAAATTACTACTAAGATTAGTAGTAGTTTAAGCATTTATATAATTTACTATAGAGTTGTACTAAGTGTAATTATATTATTAAACTTTCTAACTATTCTATATAGTTTACTAGTAAGAACACTTCTAGTTACTCTTTTACACTTAGTAGAATTCTAGTGTATAATGTTGCCTAGTATTTTAAAGTAGTTACTTTACTTTATATAGTTTTTATTACCTAATATAATTAAAAATTCTAGCTATAAGCTAAAGTTTTTATTATTAGTAAATAATTTATTTATAAAGATAAACAGCTTTACACTATTAAGCTATAATAGTAGAAAGGTAAGACTACACTTACTGTTGTCTATCTACTATTAGATTTATGTGTTAAGTGTGTTAATGTTATTATGCAAAAGGTCTATAGTTTGTGTAGTAATAAAAAGGTTAAATGCTGCCTCTAGTTAACACATAGATATAATATATACCTCTCTTACATGTTACTTAACATATTATTGTGCAGCATCTTTATCTTTTAAGTTAATTATATAAAAGTAGCTTACTTATCTCTTCTAAGTAAAAACTACTATGTTATGTGTAAGTTTAATTCTTCTACTATTAAACTTAATAGGCTGCTTCTTTACTAGAATAGTTTTACTCTTTATATAGAACTTTACTTTTTACAGTTTTTTTTTTTTTTTTTGCGCAAAATCTTTTATTATAATGCTTAAGGTGTTATATAAATGCTTCTAGTTATTTCTAGAGCCTATGTTGTGCATATAGTGCATATTTACCTAACCTTCTAGAATGTCTAGAAAAATGTTTATATACTAAGTTTCTTAGATATCTAGCTGTTAACATAAATTAATAAAGATTTTTATTTTATTTATAAGGATGTTATATAGTTAACTTATATAGTTATTATTTTTTTTTATACTTTTTAGAATTATATAATCTTGTCTGCTAAAAGTTTTTTTTTAGTAGTTTCCCTCTAGGGTAGAAGTTTATACAGGTTGTAATGTAGTATAGATTGTGCAGGTGGTATTAGTAGTGCATACACTACTGCAGGCGGTGGTGTGTACAATTAAGGGTGTAGAGCAGGCGTTAGGTAAAGTGGCATGTATTGTTTGTATAGTAATTAGTGTAGTGCTAGCTAAGGTGTAGAAGTAGGTAATGCTAGTATGTTTAGTGTTAATAGCAGCATTATGTTTAGTCTGCTTCTATGCAGAGCCTTATATAGTAATAAAGGTTACGTATAAAGCCTTTCTAGTATAATTACTTTCTCTTATGCTATATTATACAGCTTCTAGGCTTAAGTACCTTTAGTGCCTAGCTATAGTGTAATTCCCTTGTCCTTTAGCACTTATATAAGCTTTTTTTTAAACATGCAGCTAAGTGCTAAGAAGTCTTATAGTGTCTATTTTTTAAAATTCTTTATATACATACTTAAAAAAGTAGCGCCCTTCTAAGTTATTATATGTAGATTAGTAATTATATAACTTATATATAATTAAGTCTATAAGCTTATTAGAGCTTTTAACATGTTAATCTTGTTATTCTAGTACTCTAGGCTAGTCTTATTCTGTAGTGTTGCCTCTAATATTCTTATGTCCTTTATAAGTTATTTATATAATAGGAATTATTCTTTATTCTTTTTATTATTACATAGAGTTGTTAGTTGCTAATAGAATTTTATTATAATAGTATAGTTAATTGCTTTTCTAGTAGATTACGCAGGTACTGCTGTTGTCTAGCTGCTAGGTTATACAGCTTTAATAGCTTTAGTGTGCGCCTTACACTATCTCCTCTTTACTTTGTACAGTAGCAGAGCTTGCTATATAATGTAAAAGATTAATGTGCTATTATCTAGCTACTAGGTTATGCAGCTTTAGTAGCTTTAGTGTGCGTCTTACACTATCTCTTTCTTACTTTATACAGTAGCAGAGCTTACTATATAATGCAAAAGATTAATCTGCTATCTTAAAAAATAAGTAACTAAATAAAGTACTTTATAAAGTGTAAGTGCTTTACTGTTACTCTTTCTAAGAGATAAGTAACAAAACAAAGTACTTTATAAAGCGTAAGTACTTTATTATTACTTTTACTAATTTATAGTTAATTAAATTAACTACTAATTAGTGTTAAATAGGCTCTAACAGCTAGCTGCTTATAGTATAAGCACTTAAGTAGTAAGAGTAAGAGTAGTGTACAGTGTGCACAGTGTACAAAGTAAGTAAAGTAAGAGTAACATGTTTCTAGTTCTATTGCTCTTGTCTTTCTTCTATACAGAGGAAAAAGGGGGATATCTAGATGTTTGTGCACAGAGGTTCGCGCACAAGCATCATGTGACATAGATACGTGATCCTGCTCGTGCGCGATCGTTTGTATCCAGGCCGCGACGCTGCTGCTGCGTACAGACAGTAAGGCTTAAAAAGTAAAGGATAAAGAAAAAAAGGTAAAGAAAAAAAAAGACCTTATTATATACACCTCCTTATGCACCTGCCTACGCAAAGATCCTACACTATTTTAGCATAAAACTCTACATAAAACAGCTTATACACTACTAAATTACTTATAAAGTAAGTGTATAAAAGCTAGATAATAATAGCCTAAAATACTTTACACTATTTATAAAGCTATTTACATAGTGTAACTAGCTTATCTTAATATATAGCATTACTAAGGCAAGTTCTAATAAATAAGGTAAAGTATAGGCAAAATGTAACTAAATAGACCTACACAGATAAAAAAGAAGTAGCTTATATAAAAAGCAACTTTTTAGATAAAAATAAAAAGTTGCTAGTGTCTGTACACAGCAGCAGTGTTGTAGCCTAGATATAAGTAATTGCGCATAAGCAGGATTACATATCTATGTTATATAATGCTTGTGTGTAAACCTCTGTGCGCAAACATTTAAATATCCCCCTTTTCCTTTATATAAAGAAAATACAAGAGTAATAAAACTAGAAACATGTTGCCCTTACCTTACCTACCTTATACGCTGTGCACACTGTACACCACTCTTACTCTTGCTACTTAAGTGCTTATACTATAAGCAGCTAGCTGTTAGAGCCTATTTAACACTTATAATAAAAAGTTGCTTACTATTAATAAAAGTTTAGTATATTAGTAGCATTACTTTTAAAGTCTACTATTTAAACTTTTTATAAACTATAATAATCTTTACTAGTTTATAAAAACTAAAACTTTAAACTACTAGCAGGTGTAAGCTTATAAAAGAATAATAAAATATAATTTTATTATTACACACTATCTAGAAAAGTTAAACTTAGCAGATAGACTCTTAAGAAGATCTAACTATATTAAGAAGTTACAACAGCCTTTTTAAAAAAAGAATGTAATGTATGTAATAAACATGCGCAACCTTTTAAATTAATAAGATTATAAGAAGGAATTAATAGTTATAGCTATTACATGTTCTTAAGATTTTTTAGGCTTAGCTAGAAACTGCTCTAAAAAAAAACAAGGGCTAAAACAGCTGGATTCTAAAAAAGCTATAGGCAAAGAACTAAAAAAAGATAATAATAAAGACCTTATATTAGGTATTAAAGAAGACTATAATAAAAAAGACTTATTAAACACTAAAGGTAAAGTAAAAAATAAAAAAAACTTTAATAAAAACACTTATTTTTAGAATAGGCTAAAACAACATGCTATAGCTAATTATTGTATATTTTATACTATATATACCTCTAATTATTATCTCTTAAGATTATTTCCCTCTGCTCTCTATATAGTAGCCTAGAGCAAACCACGATAGGCTAACATCCTCTAGTCCCCCAAGGGCTAGCTCTTGGACTGTACACCTAATTAACTGCCCCTTCCTCTTTACCGCGCCCGGTTATTCCCCTTCGGCCCGCGTACAGAACCTCGCATCCTTACTAGCACGTGACCAGTGAGTAGAAATCGTAACCCTAGGCAGCAGTAGGCTAAAGGATTGTTGATGGCTAGCGTATAGAGAGCTCCGTAACTGCAAACATAAAAATATATAGTAGTTATATAACTAACTAAAGTATTTTCTCTTTTATTACTTTTATATAGTGTAAATAATTTATATATATATACACAGTACACGCACTACTCTAATCTGCACAACTGTACAATAGACATCACGTGACCTAATCACGTGGTGGTTGTATAGTGCCTGTGTGGACCTTGGCAGGAGAGATTCTAATACATAATCTCCCCCACCCACCTGATTACAGAATCATACGCAAGGCTCGCTCACCCCGAGCCTGACTGTACAAGGAAGTTCATTCAACAACTACTATATTTTTCATAGTAAATAGAAAGAAAATATAAATTATTTAAATATATTAACCTTTAACTAATATTTATAATAAATAAAAGGAAAAAGAAGTAGATTTTATAAAAAAAATTATAGAAAGTAGTAAAATAGTCTATTATTTTTTTAAAAAAGAAAGAAAGAAAATTTTTATATTTAAACTTTTAAACATTTCTTTAATACTAAACTCTAATGCTTTATATATTTTAATATTTTTATAACTATTTCCAGCTATGTTAACTTATATCTTATAATTACTAGTGTAACTTACTTACTAATTTCTATAAGTTTTAAAAACTTAATTCTAATAGCTAGCTTAATAAAGTAAGCTTAAAATTATTAAAGTCTACTTTTATTATCTACTATATTACACTAGTTCTAATAAATAGATACTAAAATGCTATATACTTGTAAGATATAGCTTATATAAAATATAATTTTTTTTCTATTCTTACTATATTAATTTACGCTTTATTAGATTTGTGTATTAGTAGTTAATATGTAGTAAGTTAAATTTTAATTTTCGCTATATTGTATAACAAGCTAACTAGAACCTACCTTTAAACATTAAGTACTAAATAATAGATAACAGCCTTATGTAAGAAAGCTATTACTACTTATCTAGTTAATACTTAGTAGTAACAACATACTAGAGAGTAGCTAAGTAAATATACCTTCTATAGTAAAAAGATTTCTATATTATTTCTTTAAAGCTATCTTGTGTCTACGTGCTTGAGGACCATTGCTAGTAGCGTACCTAACTTGAATGCATTTCTATATCTCAAATCTCGATTACCTTCTCCCGCCACCGCTCCCTCCGCCCTCCCCGAGCCATGGCTGCATTAATCAGGGTTCCCTTTTGTTCCCTCCCACCAAATCCCTTCCCCCACACTGTTACCTTAGCCACTTCAACCGCCAACCTCAGAACACCCAGCCATCCCGTCTCCCCCGTCACGACCCTATCATACAACTGCTGTGTAAGGTCCCAACACACCTGTTCTTTCCCCCTTCCTTTATGAATATGCCCAAAGACACACAGCTGAGGCTGCACCCTCTCCAGCTCCCTATTCAAGAATCCGCAGCCCCACCAGGACAAGTCCAGGTGACCCTTAGGTGGTCCATGTGTGAGCAAGATATCAGTTCCTTCCGGGACCCTTCCCGTCCATACATCGCTCTTGCGGAGGTACTGAAATCCCCAGTTTCCGAGTTTAGGCGTAAGCGGACATCCAAACACATTGATTTCTCGACCATGAATGTCGAGAGTAACAGATGTGTCGTTGAGGTAGACGACAGAGCCCCAGTCCAGATTCTTGGCCGTGGCGCCATGGCTGTCGAATACACGGGCAGGTACTCGTTTCACGAATTCTTCATCGAGGAGTACGTCGTGGTTTCCTCCAATCGCGATCTTATGCGTGTGCGGAAGGGAGTTGAGCCATGTGATCTGCGCTTGCAATTCTTCAAATGAGCCGGAATTCGTCATATCCCCGGCGTGCAGCAGGATATCTCCGGGAGGGACATCAGTCAACGTCGTGTTGTGAGTGTCCGATATGCAGACGATTCTGATCGGAGGATGAATTAATGAAGGTGACGTCGGCGCGACCCGAGACTGGGCAATGCTGTAGATATATTTGGCGATGAAAGCGCTTGGAAGTCCAATAAAACGTTCCCAGGTAGTCGGTGGAGGAGGGAAGAATATATTCCTGCCCTTGGATGAATTCGCAGCGGCAGGTGTTGTCATCATACTGCACCAGTGAGCTCGTAGCGTGGGCTGTGGGTCCCGCCGAAGGTGGATGAGGTCTTCTTATGATTTGTGTCGAAATAAAGAGTGACGCGGCTAGATGTTGGGAGCCTAGCCTTCTCGTGACGTGCTTACTGCTCTGTCGTAATTTTAGCCACGCTTGACAGCTGAACTCGAGAATCTTGCAGGCAGCAGTTTCTGTAAACCTCAGAATATTTTAGTAGTATGTAAAATCACAAGTTAATAAATAGGCACCACCGCATTTATAATTATACGTCTCATTTCTATATTTAAGGTGTCACGTCCAAAGTAGACGTGTTCAAACCGAAAGAGGCGACGAAGCGATCACGTGAGTTACAATTCACATCCTCCTAGATAGGTAGTTAGTTATAGAACTTAAAGCCTTCCTTGAACTCTACAAGACGCGCAATGCAGCTAAATTTCTTTAGGATGTACGTAGACCTTAGCGCTTCGCTATCGTACTCTAGGAGCCGAGGCTGTTGCCTGGCCTTGAAATTAAAATCTCGGAAACCCATCAATGTTTCAACCTCTACTAAACCAACTATTGTTACCACCTATCATCTGACATTTTTTGCCACGCTTTGCGAATCCATCGACGTGTTTGTTGAAAAGGTCATGCATACACCGGGTACACACCATGCGAGCCTCTAGGCGGTCTACCAACTGCAGAGCAAGACTGTTAGCTTTTTCGAGGGATGTGCAACGCAGCAGAGAATTTTCAAGCTGGAGAACTTGTCCATGCCGTTCCAATTCGAATAAACATGAACTCGGTGGTATCACACGAGTTCTAATATTCAAGAAAGTGGCAACTACGCTGAATCCATTTCCCCACCCGTCCCGCCGTGCATCCCTTTGATTATGTTTACGCCGATTTCGGGATATCCACTAAGCATGTGTATAATCCTACTGCAAGCCGAAGGGCTCTGGAATGGGCTGCCCAATCAACTCTCGGCTTAGCATCTCATCATGCTATATAAAACATAAAGCTCTTCGAACCCCCAGACTATAATACATTTATTCTTTTATACCTTTGCAAAGCCGCACCTTCAATTTCTCGCCTGGTAACCAGTAGTCCTAGATTTAAGACACTAGATTCAAAGGCCGGTTAAGCTCATAAGAGTAGGATGAAATAATGTAGAGAAATCCACGACCATGCTTACCCTACTGAAACCGTGGCAACCTTGCCGACTAAGATTCTAGATATTGGGGGGGGGGCCAGGAGGTAAACGTTTTCTAAGGATTCCGGATTCATGGGAATTATGTTCCTACTGTCGCACGTGCATTTTCTTCCGCCAATATATATTCTTCTACCTTGCATGGTACAAGGGTAACCATTTGCAAATTACAACACTTGCGTGGCACTTAGTCATTGTGTGAGTTGACCGTGCCCACGCCCTTCCTTCCCACATTTAAAGGCTACCAAGCGGTTGGGATGTCTCCGGGTCCTCCTAATCAGCATGGGAGAGCGATTTTTGCAAAGGTATCGGCAGGCCTCGACCAACTAGTGCTGTTTCTGTAATTTAGAGGCGTAAATATTACCGTTTGATGGATGGAACCGGATAACATATCCGTATGATGAATATGAACATTGAAGAGCTTCCTACGACTTTTTGCGACGCTATCTTCTTTACTCGAAAGCTCGTCTTTCGATTCCTCTAGATCGATTCCTTGGGCATCGCACAGGATAGAGGTGAAGACTAGTCCTAGGAGCAGTTTTGATGGTTTACCCCGTCTGCGAGTTGCTGAATAGCGTCCCGCGTTGTTATTACGTCATCCGATTCCGTTTCTATGCCATTGGGGAAATTGCAGAATAATACAGGATGATCCGAGTGTTCTGGCGCTATGAGTCGATTTGTCGGGCTGGGACAGCCGTTGCTGTGAGACTCGAGAATGACCATTCTGAGGGTGCAACATCTGATTCGCTCCGGATCTTTGGTGGAGAAAGAGACCTCAACGCTAAACCCGTCTATGGAAAGCACGGGTAGACATGTGGCATGACGTCCAGTCGCGTCCTCATTTATGAAGGCAGAGTGGGCCATCGACCTCGTACTCGATGTCCATGATGCGGCCTTCGAACCGGTCGCGGCTTCTCCTTGTCGTCATGTTCGGCCCGAGAGTTCGCGAAGGCGGCGTGCTGCGGCGTTGAATCAACGCTGTAGAGCCAGACGGAGATTTCGCAATAGCTTGCAGTGCTCATAGGCGGCCGAGTAGCAGGTGAGATTGTGTTGGCAGCTGGGGGGTGGATAGAGCGTGGTAGATTGGCATTCAGCTTCAAGGTCGCTATCGACAGTCGGGAAGTCTGCTGGGAAGGACTAATCGCACGTTAACGTCGGTAGTGGAACAGTAGAAGAATGCGATCTAGGCACAGCTGAAGACGTTGTTGTAATGACGCAATCACTACAAAATCTAGAGTAAAAATCGCAATAGCCATTAGAGTAAAAGGTGAAGCGTGGAAGTCCCAATCAACTCTGTCCCGAGAAGTCATCAGCGAAAGCTCAGTCGCATATTCTCTTCGCACGTTTTCTAGCACCACCCCCCGCCACATCTCTCCCCCCGACACCTCCACAACCTGCTTAAATCAGGACAAAGGTCTGAGCATCTCTCTGCCCACTCGATAGCCTCTCCATGCATGATGCCTTCCACATAAGCGTCCCCGACAGCCTTGTACTCGTGCCGCTCCTCGTCTACAACATATAACACATCGGCGAGCCATTCTTTCTTTCACCTCGTGCCTTCGTTCCAATATATGGAGCAAGACCAAGTTGACCGCCTCTCGTTCTTATGAAACACCGACCCCGCCCTACCAAGAGCCATATCCCAAGCGCCTCATTGTATCTAGATAGATTAATCACCTTGTCGAGAATCGGCTTCGGCTTCAGTCCCAGCACTTCTTCGACTGTCTCAGCTGGCGCGCCGCCATTTCAGGCAACGATGTTTAGGAACACGATCATGGCTTTCGTCGTCCAATGGTCTAATCCAGGAAGATCGCGTTTGAGCTGGGCAACAAGACCACTAAGGTCCTCATCATCAGGGTCCCAGTATCGGTTGAATCTTGCGCTGCTAAGGGTGTCGATGAAGTCAACAATCTTGCCATTTACAATCAAACGGCCTGTGGTTGCAGCGTCGCCGTTTTACGTTTCCAAGTGTACATGTTGTCAACCCTTGGCCGCACTCTAGGGAATGTCGCACGGCCGCGGCCGCACGCCCCCAGCTGCGAATCGAAATGGTGCCGAGAGGGGTGTAGCAGACCACGGTGGAACCCACGAAGGTAATCCCTTGAGCTCTTGCGGACCAGAGAGACAGGAAGTCCAAAGAACCAAATTCGCGCGCTAGCGATGCCGCGAATTTAGTGAAGTTCTCTTTCGTAGAGATGAAATAATCTGTTATAAAAGAGGAGCCTTCCAGCATTCCTAAGAAAGCGTAGAGTTGGTCGCCTAACTCCGACATCTGAAATTCCTGGCCTCCTGATGCATAACGCGAGGAAAACAGAGGGGTTGCTCGTCGGCGAAAGCATGGAAATGCAGGTTCATGAGGATGTAGTAACTATAGCTGTTCTGTTCCGCTCCACCGGGCTTATAGACTAGTGGGGTGGTGTGCAGATCAAAAAGATCTTGCATGTTCATCTCTATATCTCCTGCGAGAAAAATCGGCGTTTCCGCCTGCAAAAGCTCCTGTACAATCCAGCCCCGCAAGAACCATGGGCGAGACCAGAAATTTCGGATAGCGGGTTCGTATATTGGATCCGTGTCTGGGCTGGCGAATGTGCTGCACTCTAAGATAGCACCTATCGGGGTTGAAGGTGCTGCTTCCTGGTGTCATTCTGTCTGCACCTAGTATATCTCGGATCATCTTTGCAATTGCATTGAGCCATTGCTTGCACAAGAGGCTGTTTTCGTCTGCTGATCCAAGCCAGATTACTCTCGCATAAGCTGAGAAGGGGTCATAGGGTAGGCGAGTTGACAAAGTATTGAGATCCAAACAAGGTGAATTGAACCAGTGTATTGTAAGGTCTAAGGAGCCCGAGAGAGCTCTGGGCTGACTATATACTGTACGAGAAAGGAGCTAGTCCTAATGAGTGAATAGTGCAGTACATGGGTATGGTATTGCGTGAGAGACGTGCGACAACTACTACTCTCTGGGTGGATTTGTAGATCTGCGACATGAGAGGGATTTGTTTTCACTTCTCCGCCAAGTCTATTTGATTGATACAGAGCTGGTCGATCCACAGTAGCTTGGTTATCGAGTGTTGGCAGAGACGCGGCAGTGCTTGAGAGAGGTTCTCGGTGAGCCCAATGGCACCAGCTTTCGCTTTCGCTTTCGCTTTCTTTTCCTCTTTCACATTCTCGTCTATAGTAAGACCGGCCACGCGGTTAGGGCTACCCCAAGTGTAAGAGACTGCTTTAAATTCTAGCTGTGCATCTCTGTTTGAAAGCTCCCTGTGGATAATTCTGTATCGGTAGGTCGGTGGCCGTGCCTCCGCCTGGATCCTCTCATTGTCGCCGGTACTCAGAACCTGCAGTAGGCGGATATGGCGATGGCTCTCCAGGGGTCGGTACTTGTAAGTCATCATAAAACCGCCGGGTGCCATGGCTATGCAAGCCGTGGGCTAGAGATTTGTCGTTGCAGGAGAACAAGTGATGCAGCATGGGGCATCACGTGTAGGTAGCATCAGCCACACTAGTCAAGGAAGTGGATTGCAAAGACCAAAATTCAGAGGTCTAAGCATATTATCCCAGGATCTAGCGAATATTCCTAGACAGAATGATTGCAGCGCGTGCCTTGAGGAAAAGACTTCGAGAGAGACCCAGGGAGTCTGCCGGCAGTGACACTTTGGAGCTCGGCAGGAGCTGAGTTTTCACGCGTATCTCAGATACTAACTGACCTCTTCCCACTTCCCCTTTTGATTAGCGCCGTATCCTAGATTTAAAAGCATAATAACACCCGGCTCAACTTCGGCTCACTCGCTGCTCAGTTTCAACCGCTACGGCTCAGGTGCTCACTTTCCAACTCACCATTCCATCCTAACTTCGTTAGCTAGCCCCAGTTGTGGAAAATACTATCATAGTTTCTGTCAACTCTAAGCGAAAGACAACTGCACGGGTAAGCTGGCAATAAAGTCTTGCAATAGGCCACATTATAAACAAAAGGGGGTGGCCTAGAACTGGGCCATCCGATGTCCTAAGAATGGGCCAGTCATGCAAAATGCCGCGAAAGTTAGCTCTAGTGTCGGCTGAATGTCGAACGCTATGAGGCAAACGCCCCCCTACTATATCATCCATTCTTCCTAGCTTCTATCTCCTCACCGTTTTTCTATGTCTATGTCTATTCCTTCTCTGCCTCTATTCACTTATAAGGGCAAATCTTAAGAAAAGATTTCATTCAGCAAGCGAAGAAGAAACAAGGCACCGAACCCCATCTCTCTGTTAATAGGGGGCGGATTATTAAAAGCCTAGAAGATTGGGCACTTAAGCTCTGTCAATAGAAGCTAGACGAATAGGATATAACGGGCCCTACGTTAGGATCCTCTAAAGATAGATTTGAGATCCTTAGGTCACAGTGTTGTCATAGGACGCTAGCAAGAGAGATAATCAAGGTGGAGATAACACAAGCATAGCATGACCTCCTACAACGTACTATCAACTGTGGGTGCCAGAGGTTCAAGACAAAGCTTTTTCAATGTATTAAGAACTAAGGTAATAACAATTTCTTCAAGTAATTGCTATAAAACCCTTAAATTCCATTATATTGTGACATTTCTAACTCATGGTGTTGACCTTTTACCACTTATCAGCTATTCCCGAGGATGTGGCGAAAAGAGTGACCGAGTAAAGGCTACACTCCTCGCTGCGCCGCTTCCTCGCCCAGTCTAATGCGGCCGCTGGCCCCGTCCCCACAATTCACCTTACGGTAACCATGCCGAACCCGTTAATCACTAAGATCGCCAGTTAACTTTACCTCAGCAATAGCACGAGTTCTCGTGAACGGAAAATCCTCCGCGAGTACAACATCACGGACGTGGTCTCCCTCAGTGGGGGGCAATGGGTCTATTGGAGCCAGCCCTAGTATAAGAAGATCATCCCTGAAGGCAATCATCTCTTCATAAAGTGCGGAGACAGCATGACGCAGGATCTGCTGCCCGAACTCGCCAACATTTGCGACTTCATCAACCCGCGTCTGGATTCCGGTTCCGTCCTCGTCCATTGCGATCGAGGCGTGTCGAGGTCTGCCACAGCCGTGATCGCCTATATAATGCAAACTTATTAGTGCGACCTCGCCACCGCATTAGCCTTTGTAGGAGAAAAGAGGAAGATTAAGCCGAACGATAACTTTAAGGAGCAGTTAGAGGTATGGGGAGCGGTCAGGGGCAACGTCTGGGCAGCTCCGGGAGTTCCCAAGGCGGAATATGCGGTTTACCTGGCGAAGAGGACAAAGAGATTGCAGGAGGCTAGGATGACTAGAAACAAGCCAATCGGCATAACGTCCTTGTAACTAACGACCTACCTTAACTGTACAAAATCCTATTAGATTGCGCCACGCCTCAGGCGCATAGTTAACGCCTGTTTTAATCCTTTAGATTGCATAGCCCTAGACCTCCAACCTCTTGTAGGAGGCTCTCCTCTGTCCTCTCTAGATACTTACCTATTTCCCTAATATCGTCAGGAATCTACAATAATAGTAGATGCGTTTTCACTCTAGTCCTTTTGAACCCTGTAAACGTAACGCCCCTCTAAAATTTCCTGTACATACAACAGCTACCTTCTTCCCACCAAGAAGCAGAAGCCTGTAGATGACCTTGCATAGGCTTCTAGAGGATTCACTAAACAAGGATGCGTAAAGCATTACCAAGGCTCTGTTAGCCTGCTTTAAGGCTTTTATAGACACTTAGAAAAATATCAATTGTACAAACCTAGCAACAAGAACTTGTCTAGCAATGCGGTAAAGCCAGTGCTAACAAAGGTGGAGACTCCATCGCCTTAAGAATACTAGGCGAGATACAACAACTTAAAAACTAGTTTTAAACAGTCATTATGTCACGCGAGGATTAGGACTACATTAGGAGTTTGTATGCCTAGAAGTAGCTGTGCGTAGGTTGTAACGTGCCTAATTAAGCACTTTCTGCTTAATGTAGAAGCTTCTAGCAGCGTGTAGCGATGCGCACCAAGAGAAAACGTTGATGTATTGTCCTAACAAATCTCGATGGGGACTGTGGCTGATGAAGGCTGGCCGCAAATTGAGGGGCTCACTCCAGGCTGACTACTCTTGATTTCACAAAGTTGTAGACGATAACTTTAGAGACTGAATTCAGATTCCTATTCAATAGAAGTATAACCGTGTTTCATAAGTGAACCTGCTCTGTCTGGTTTATGCATCCTCACTCTGCCACTGTGGACTCTTTTGCAGTCTCAATTTGTTGACCAACTTCACTGAAAATTGTCTAGAATATTCGAGGGTACTGGTGTGATTGTCGCCGTTGAGTTGAGAAATGCGGTGGTAGATTGTGTCGCACGTGTCTCACGCGATACCATACTCATACACTGTGCTATTCATTCACTAAGACTAGCTCCTTTCTCGTACAGTATATAGTCACACCAGAGCTCTCTCTCACTCCTTAGACCTTACAATACACTTGTTCAATTCACCCAGTTTGGATCCTAATACCTTGTTGACTTGCCTACCCTATGACCTCTGCTCAGCTCGTGCAAGAAATTGTTGTGTTAGAACCATCGACTCGGTTTAGGTCACAGTAGTAGCGCCGATTTAAGGGGTCGAGCAAGTAGCTTCACAGTTGGAATAACACATTACCCGTTCACCGGCATTGCAACGTCTAGCGCCAATGAAGGGTCTTCGTCGGGAAGGCTGGAAACTAGCGTACGTGATGCTAAATCAAATGGTTAGCGAACGGCATCCAAAAACGGATGTGAAATGGTCTTCAACATCATAGACAAGGCATAACTCTACCTGGAGACAGCTTTTCAGATAGTCATCAACGACTGGAGCAGATCTAACCAAACTATGTACACGAGGACCATCAGCGACACCCGCTCTCTGACGCAAAGACCGACCACAGCTACCAGCTAGTTTATGGAGTCTGTCTAGTGGCTTCCTTGCAACAGCTGCTCAAGCAGCGCCGTCAACAACCTTACTCTGATGAATCAGTGGAGGCATACACTGAGATTGAAAATGCTCTTTAGGAAAATGGCAACGTCCAATGCAGCACTAATGAACTACGCAGGAACCAGGAACTGCTCCCCGCAGCCTACAACGCCCTTTGAACCCTCGCCTAACTTCTTCCTAGAAATGCACACGTTTAATATCCTGACACCACATATCATAATCACGTCATTCCATCGGGGAAGCCGGTCGAGGTTGCCCAGGAAGAACTGCTCACCATTCATTAGTTGACAATATAGCAAATGGTGGCATCCTGCTGGCGCAATACGGAAGAAAGATGCCATCGAGCACCTCCCGAATTAGCTCTGGTTAGATTGTCATGTTCGCTAATTTCCTGCAACCTGACTAGGTTTTCAAAATTCGCCGAGCCGCCCCAACAGACGTCCTTTTTTCGTTGTTCCTAACCAATTAAACCCTTTCGCCCCCACATGCCGCCGGATTCGCCTATTTTCGAGTCTTGGCACCCTTGGTTTCCCTCGATGCCGTGTCCAATCACATCAATGTAAGTAGACCTTTGAAAATTGTTTACGGAAAGAGGGTTTAAAGGATTTGCGCAGTGCTTACTGTGCTAGTAGAATACTAATTTCATAATACCTCAGTATGGTCACAGCGCTGCCATAAGATTATGGGATCTGAAAGGGGTTGGTGGCTACTGGAATATATATAAGAACCGTCGAAGATCGTTGCATCAATTCTACATTCTAGTCTTTACTCAGTCACTCGCTCATTTGGCATTCTTTCTATCTGTTCTTCTTGCATGCGCCTGCAAGATGCGCATCTTCTCGTTTCTTACTCTACCTTTGGTAGCTCTTGCTATCCCTCCCCCCACCGCCTCCTTAAGAAGCGCTGTCGAAAAACGCGAAGACTTCTTCCCCTACCTGGTTGAAGATGTCTGCCATCAGCCGGACAGCCGGTTCGACCAAGTCCAGCGCTATGACAAGATGCTTAAAGCCGTGCAAAAGGCTCGCGAAATGGCAAAGCTTGCGTTGAAGGAATGGTGGGATGAGGGCAAGCATGGCGAAGCTGCAGCTACATACCTGGCTATTCCAAATAATGGAACATACAAAGATAACGAGTATGCGCAGAGGGTGCATGCAAATTTGCAAAATGTGGCGTTGTTGGATGAGAGGATTCCATTCTTGAGTAGGAAGATTGTAGGTTGAAACAATAATTTCATTTCTTCCCTTCCGCTGTCGCATCACTATTTACAATTTCAAGTACTACCTTTGATGGAGCGACTTGCAGCTCATGTTAGGATGGTATCATCCAGCTAATCTGGCTGCACAGGATGTCCATTGCACCGATATCAGCGACAAATGTAATAGGGAAGTCGAGGGGCCGAACAGGTGAGTGCTCCTAGGAACAGTACCAACAAATTCAGAAATTCATACTTCTCAGGCCGATCGGCGGGTATGCCGAGAATACCAACCACTTTGTAGGAGGTTGGCATTATGACGTTGTTCTGTGCATGCCATTTTTCATGGCGGACACGCCTGACCATTTGGCGGAGTATTGGCCCACACAATCGGACTTCAGGGAATCGGTCGCAATGAGCTTTCTTGAGGTCAGTCATGCGGACATGCTCGTCTTTGCAAGCACTAATTTGGCTATTAGAACGATGCTGGGAAGATGCTCCATGAGATGATGCACATCGATCTCATCTCAGCGGACAGACCGCATAGTAAGATGACCAATGGTCTTGTTTGGCTAAAACTGACTCAGGACATAGTTATTGATCAATTTTACAATGGCGCGCGCGTCTACACGGCTCCCATAGTTGCGGACTGGGTTTTGAATTACAAGGCGAAGACTGCCGATGTAGTTCAAAATGCCGACAGCTATACCCAGTTCGTCAACGGTACGTATCTGTGTGTCGAGGAGGACCATAATTCCAACTGACATGCCGACAGCCGTCTTTTTCACGTCAAAGTTCGGATTCCTCCCCCCTCCGCAGCGCGAGGTGCCTTTGACTGGGAAATTGGAATGTGGAGGTGCAAACAATGAATACGTCGACAAGACCCAGGACAAATATATTGAGGACTTCTGCACCAACGTCGCTGCTGAGTATCAGCCAGGTTCTATCGGCGAAATTGCCCGCCAGTACGACGAAGGGCTACCAGAGCACGTCCGGTTCAGGTTTTATCGACGACCCGGCGGCAAGCTACTCCCGAATGAGATTAAAAAGCAATGTACCGACACCATGCCCAAAATCTTCCATGAGTGTGACACATCAACGAATTGGAAGCATGGCGGCGCGTACACCTTTTCTAAAGGTCAGGACGATATTTACACTTATTACGTTGAGCCGAGGCATGAACGTCCAGACCCTATCCCCACAAAATTACCCGGCAAGTGCGATGTGTGGTACAAATTCTGGTATGATGAGTTTTACATCTACGGAGGGCTCTGGGCGGGGAATGACTGGGGCCAGGGGCAATTGCTGCCCAATTTGCGGAGGTGTGGCATAGTGAGTGAGTGGAGGTTCACTTACAAGGAGGAACCGGACAAGGATGGCGTTGAGTGGGAAGCCTACGGTCGACTGCCAATTGGTGCACAGCAATGGAATTGTGTCAGACAGGCAGTAGTGGATTCGGGCGGCCCATCGGATATTGGCTGCGGAGGCAGCTAGAGGAGCTGACGAGTTTGAACTTGGATATGGAGATACTATTTTGAGACGTTGAAGGTGCTGAATTCGTACCTAAGTTAGACTTCTTCAGCCTTACACTATATAAAACCTTTTAATGCCTCTGGAAATCGTGTTCGATAGAAAAAGAGATGTTTCTATTATTGAATGGATAGATAGGCAACTCGAAGGGCGGCTTAAAACATCTACGCGTTACTAAGATCCTTTCACTACCGAGAGAAAATTAAGTGGGCACTTTTCTAAATCAAGTCTAGCACTATATACATTCATCTGATTCCATACCCCGCGGGAGGCATATCTTCGCGTCACTTGTGTTAGTTAGCGTTAACCACGGCTTAGAACTAGAAGAATAGATGAGTGGGAGCACGGTCAGAACGCTTGTGCTCGCTTATGAATACAGCGGAAGATTCGCGATTCTCGGTTGAGTTTTGTCACTTTACCCTTTAATCGTCCGCCGTATATGAAACACGTTAGCGGAATGAAATAAGTTTATGCTAATACTAGGGATTAAAAATTGGGGCTTTTTCCTAGAGATAACCTTAATTGGCTAGTTAAAAGAAACCCTGCTCTCTTCCACCGTTCCTAGATGGGGTCGTGTAGATGAAATGAAAAGATAGATCGCGCCGCAGGTAAAGACTTCCTCTTTGCTAGGGTTGTAAGTCTTGTTTTGATGTAACGCGACTATCTAACGTTCTTCTGCTTCGCGTGCAGGGGAGATGTGCGCCCATGCGATTAGTGCTCGCACATGGCCAGCTTTATCGTCAATGTCTGGCCCAGTAAGCCTATTGTTTATGTTCAAAATCTCCTTGCCCGCATTGTGGACGGAGTCTTACTTTCTATAAATATTCATTGCTCTTCTAAATGACCACAAATCAAACCCAAACAACTTCAAATTCAACTTAACCAAGATGACGCTTCAACTCTCGCAGCTCGAGCAGCGCATCACCCAATACAAGATGCTCAAACGAATTGCCAGCAGTGTACGTGCCGCCGACCTTCACAACTTAGCCCTCGCATCAAAAATGACATATACCAATATTCGCGAAACCAAGGAACGGTGGGCCAACTTGGTCAATCAGGGTGCCTGTGATGGCTTCGGATTGAGGCGCCAACTCGACCTTGGCGTGTCTTCGTGCCCTCCATTTTTTTTATCGAAGTTTCAGAATTTACTGGGGCTTGGTACGAGCGACAAGCAGCAGAATGTGGAGGTACGGACGATGAAACCCGCGTTCAGCCATCCAAGAACTGCGGCTCCAAGACCTGTGGGGAATATGTCGCACGTGTCTCACGTGATACCATACCCATGTACTGCACTATTCACTCATTAGGACTAGCTCCTTTCTCGAACAGTATATAGTCAGGCCAGAGCTCTCTCTCGCCCCTGTGAGATCCCTACCGCTGACATGCCAGCTGACGGCCTCACCAAGGTCTTACCTCGTTAAAAACATCAAGCTTTTATCAAACAACTAGGGCGTCATTTAGGCGGACGAGGCCTAGTTGTTTGATAAAAGCTTGATGTTTTTGGCGAGGTAGGAATATGGTGAGGCCGTCAGCTGGCGTGTCAGCGGCAGGGATCTCCCAGGAGCTCGACAGAGCTCTGGGCTGACTAAAAACTGTGCGAGAAAGGAGCTAGTCCTAATGAGTGAATAGTGCAGTACATGGGTATGGTATCGTGTGAGACACGTGCGACAGAATGCTGCCTGCGTCTGGCTTTCCACAAGGTACGTATGTTGGCAAAACGATTACGACCGTGTCACGTCGCATGCACTACGTCAACGTGCAGCATATACTTGCCCCTCCAAACTCTGCGGCATATCCTAGCTATAAACATTATGTCTCGACTCGCCCCAACTACAATGGCAATCTGAACGACGTAGGCTCCCGGGGTGATAGCCATGGCTGGAAAGTTTTTGAGACGCGAGCGGGGCTTTTCTCATATTCGCGCTCCGGAGATCGAAGATCTGAATCTTGGTGCACACGATATCGGTGCAGGACATGCTCCAGCTTGTTGCGTCGCGCAAGCGGTATCTAGCATTGACTGCGCGCGAAGCGGTGGACCTGGTGCCCAGAACGCCGGCGAGGGCTGTCCGGAGGGCGTGTTGAGGGAAGCAGTGTGCGTGTACACTCCAGATCCGGTTCGAGGATCGGTGGATGTGCCTTTAGTGCGCGATTGCCGAGAACTGCGAGGACAAGGTATATTGCTCTCAGAATCCGCTGGTGAACCCGCCGATCGAAGAAAAGCTCTTTGATCGTCGCGAGTTTGGTCGTTTGCCAAAGGAGTGTGCTTGTGGAAATGAATTTCAATTCTGTGGGCCTGATGCTGCGGCTATTGTTGATGTTGTGGTATTCTGTTCATGGTGTGGGGGGAGCGTTCCCTCTGAAACTGGTTGGCATGCCCACCCAACACCGTATTCATTCGTACGGAATTGAGCCCTGATTATTCCACCAGACCGAATGCTCTCACGGTCATTTTGCAGCGATGCCACACGGCATTGCTTACAAGTAAAATGTAGGCCGAAGCATAACTGAACCCTGTTCTAATAGATTATTTATTCCTTTACTCTACATATACCTGCCTCTAGCGTCACCTAATTTTCAGTAAATCATGAATCCCTCTAATACCGACACGTGACGTGAGATGTCATCGGGAACGCGAGCACAGCCACACCTCAAGCGACTCCCGCTAAACGTCACCTGTTAGTCGACTCATCCTACAAAACCAATACCTCAGCCTTCGTGAGATAATCCACGTTGACGTACTGTGCAGACAGGCGATCAAGCGGTTCCCCTTCACCTTGGCTAGCGAGCCTAGTCTCAAACGGGTTAAAGCTGACACCAGCGTCATTGCTTGACCGCGGCCCGCTCCCGCCTGCAGCGACTACGATGCGTCTTCTTATACACCGCGGCCTCTCTTAAACCATCTGGGCCCATCTACTCTCCCCTAAACCCATATTTCGCATGCTGTTATTATGATCGCGACATCGTTGTGTACGGCTGAACCACAGCCTTGTCTGCTATCAGGCGATCTCGTATAGGGTGGCTTGCCAGGCTGCAAGGCTTTTCCACTGCGCCTCGACCCGCGAGACCTTCGACGTAGTTTAAAAGATACCTTGCCGCGGCGCGCGACGGTATGCACTGAGTTATCCTCACACAACGATGTTGCGAAAGCTACTGTCGATTGTTGTTTTGTTTGCGGCTCTGCTTCATAGTGCCCGTGCGGCCCCATTCTCGACCCCACAATCTCTTTCAATTCCACCCGTTTCGATTCATCGCGAGCGCTCGACCTCCGATGAAGAGCTCACGGCGTGGACGGTGCGTTGTGGGTATGCGATCAGCGGCATGTTCTGCACCACACAGCGCTATACCGTTTACTTTATTGCCGTTGGCACCCTCCTCTTCCGCTTCCACGACTGGTTGACAGCCATCGGAGTTGCCTATCTAATTACCTACACCGTCACAACTGCTATATACGGCGCGGCACTAGCTCTAGATCCTGCTATTGGCACGGACGCAGATTATGTCATGATTGGGAACATTCTCCTAATCAGCGCAATGATAACTTGGCTCTTCCTGCGTTTCGCCCGACATATATTCAAGGTTAGTGGCAAGACCACTCTTTGGCTCTGGTACTGTATTATTGTCGTGGCATTCATAATCGTCGAGGCGCGCAGGTCCACATTCTGGTCCCACTTCTATCGCGTTAGGGCAGTTGAGGTGTGCAATTCCTCAAACCTCTGCCTCAACACATGTTCTTCCGTCATGGCATCTTCCAAATTCCGGGGAACCGGTGACGAAATAATGCCGATCCAGTCGACCAAAAGGCGGCTTGCGGTCCCTGTCAACTCGTCTCTCTCAATCGACGAGTTTCTCGGTGCGGCGGTGAACTTTACTACCAATTTACCTGTGCCTGGCTACCGTTCCAACAATTCGTTTGATCCAAAGTTCATTCCCGTCATAGTAGTGTATGCCCTGGGGTTCATCAACTGGGCGATACCTCCGCGCTCGATACGGAACACACTATCGAAACTCATCTTGGTCGGGAAACAAACAAAAGAAGACTCGACACAAAGTCTTATGACTGAGGCACCCTCAATGGCCAGTGCCGTAGCTGGAAAGAAAAATGAGCGTCGTCAAGCAGCCTCCCCTAAGAGAAGGAAGAAAACACCGAGTGCGATAAGCATCCGCACCGAGCTTGCAAAAGCACTGGCCATGCTCTGCTACATCTTGTACTCTCTTACTATTCTTGCCTTTCCCGCCATCCTCACGTGGACCATTGTAAAGGCTGAGATTTACATCCGCGAGTCACCCCGGTTTGACGAACAAGAAGGCCCTCGAAACGTCGGTCAATGGGGTCCTTGTGTAAGCGTCGCTCTTGCAGCAGTCGCGGCGCTCTTGGACCGCCAATCGTCTCGTTCTGGCAGCGAAAGTGACATCTGGTCATTAATGGAAAAGTCTAAGCCACCGGAGTGTGAGAGGCCTAGTTGGTTGTTTGGCTGGGAGGAGGGGTGGTATTGGTACGCCGTGATCCGGGATGAGTGGTTGGATTTCGTCGCGTGGTGGAGAAAACCGGTTTGAGTCCATTTGACTGTCAATTTACACTAAGAAAAGGTTGTGAATGATACAAAAATGCTACTGCGATAAGAAGAGAAGAGCAGGTAGGCGGAGGAAGCTAAGGACCGTGGAGAGGACCCTAGCATTGCCCCTTTCTGGAACTGAGAGCGACTACTCCATTCAACATACTTCAGAATGAAAGCGCAGCAAGAAATCAGGATCCATGATCCTACGCAGAACCAGGTCTCAATGTTTTCTGATGTAGGTCTCTCTAATTTAAAGCGACCGTTCGCCCTGTGAGAAAAGAGCGAGAATCCCTTCCTCATTCGAAGCAGCCGCAAGATCCAGTGGTGTTTGCTGCCTCTTGTCCTCCGCCATAACATTCAAACCCTTGTCCACCAAAAACTTGAACCTCTGGACGCTAGTCCCTATAACACTACAGCCACGTCCCGCAGCTACGATATGCATCAACGTCTCCCCATCATTATTCAAAACCTTCCAATCCACACCCGCCTGATCGAAAAATTCGAACAGGGGCATCTCCCAGATCGGACTATAGTAGTACAGTCCCTTAGGAACCTCCGACTTCGGCGTAAAGTTCACGCCGAAGGCCCTGCGGCAATAGTGGAATATGGGGGTTTCGCCATGATGATCGCGCGCATTGATGTTGGCGCCCATAGTAAGGAAGCGAAGGAACAATTCGTAGAGCGGGCCTTCGATCTTCACACCAAGGGCTGCGTTCCACTTTTCGCATAAGAGATAGTGAAGCGGCGTCGCGCCTTTTGCGTTCACGGCCAAAGGATCTGCACCCATGGAGAGAAGCTCGCCAACGTGGTCGATCGAGGCCTCGCATGCCTTATGTAGAGGGGTGTTTCCTTCATCGTCGACCTGGTTGATGAGCTCCGGCGCCCCTTTGAGAACCGCGGAAACCGCCCGTGGGTCCGGGATGGCGATTCTCCGGCCAATGCCATGGAAAAGGTAATGTAGTGTATTCATCCCCTTCGAATCCCTTGTAGTAACATCGGCGCCTCGTTCGAGTAGAATCTCTACGTATGAAGGGTCGTTTTCTGCCGAATTCTCCCTCCTTCTCTCTACACCGCATGCTGTGTGTAGAATGGTTCGTCCCTCTAGATCCACTAGGTTGGCATCCAAAGAAGGGTGCTTGAGCAACGGTCGAACAACATTGCTGGATCGAATCAGTCGATGCATCAGAGTAGTGTCTTCATATCGAGCATTAATATCGGCACCGTAGCGGACGAGTAGGTCAACTATCTTCTCTCGGCTCTTTTTGTCAATTGTCGCACCACGTGTACGATCACATGCTGCATAATCCAGCAGATAAAAGGCCCCATCTTTCCGGCAGGGCTTGTATTGCGGATTCTCCGGTTTGTTCCACCCCCCGTCTTCAAAGTCTCTTTCGTTGGGATTCCCTCCTGCCTGCAGGAGGAGTTCGAGAGCCATGCAGTTCGACTTCTCAATCGCTCTTAGAAGATCGGCATATCTGATGCGAGCGCCTTTCTGAATCAGAAACTCGGCCGTCGGAATATGGTCGAGGGATTGACCGAGGCAGCTCAGTCCCTCGTTGTCGATGGCATTGACATCAGCCCCGAGCCTGACGAGTAGCTTGATGGTTTCGATGTCGTAATCAGGATTTGGAGTCATCTCCAAGGCAGCGTGGAGAGGCGTCTTGCCCGATCGATCTCGGAGGTTGAGATCCGCACCTTTCTCCACAAGGTATGGGAGTGCCTGGGACACCTGCCACCACGTCATGGACGGCGAAAAGATGAGATGTAAAACGCCCTTATCTCTAAAAGTCTCGTAATCTAACGGAGGCGGCCTGCTCATGTACTTTCGGTAGCTGGTCTGGGTATTCACGTTGACGCCGATATTCTCCACTAGTACCCGAAGCACATCCATGTTGGGGAGCTCAGATTGAACGGCGTCGAGGAGAAGCGGCTGTATGCTGCCCTTTATTGCTTTGGATGCGGTCTCCTGTTGGTCGCACCATTCGAAATCCTCTAGTTTGTTCGCCATGTCAAGGTTGCAGACTTGGGCTAGTATCGACGCATATCCGTCCTGGACAAGACCGTGTAGAATCGTTCTTCCGTACCGGTCGGGCTTGAGGCAGTCAGACTCGAGAAGAGTCTGTGCAGCAATCTGGTACTCTCGTAGGCCAAGAAGCCTTTCGAATATTGCCCGCGTGTCCTGGGCGTTGTTCGAGCTACGGAAAACCTCTTCTCGGGCGGCCTGTCGTTTCTCGAGACAGCTCAACACGTTTGAATCTAAGGATAGGCTTTTGACTCGCATTGAGAAATGAAACGGATCTGAGTCCATTACGGCCAAAAGCGACTTGCTTGCATGTAGCAAGCAGTCTATCGTGTAGGCACAACCATTGTCGGCGGCCGAAGAGATGGCGTATGGGAGATGCCTTCGGGCGTCAGACTCATGTGTCGCAAGTATGTCCACGATCTCGTCAATGCGGTGCTTGAGGGCAGGGTCAAAAGGAGGGCGGAGGCGTCCCTTGGCCCGTTCAATCTTAGGCCGTGTCTTGTCGGAGATCAACGTGCTGCCTGCGTGGGATTGCGAATAGTCCCGATCCTGAGTGCGAGCCCTAATAGCCCAGATCGCCTGTTCTCCCTCGAATTCTACGCAGCCTTGCCATGAGGAGCCGTCATAAGAATCACTCTTCACCGTAGCCCCGGCATCGATAAGCATTTTAACCGTTTCAATCCGCCCAGATGCACAGGCGTACCACAAAGGAGTTCTGCCGAGGATATCTTTCTTGTTCATGAGGGTAGGTATGTCGGTTTTGTCTCCGTTGCGATCAATAAACTTTAGAAGAACACCAAGAATGTTGGCTTGACGTGATTTCGCAGCGATGTGAAACACTGTGGATCCGTCCCGAGTAGTTTGCATCCAATCGGCACCTGCTCGCAGTAGCTTCTTCGTTTTGTACGCGCAGAAGGTACTCGTAATATGCAATGCAGTCACTCCATCCTCATCAGCGGCGTTCCAGTTGTGTACTAGCGGAAGAAATTTGTCAAAGATGGCAGGGACCTGGGACCGGCTGCAGATGATATGCAGCGGGGTCCGGCCGCGAAGATTCGGCTGTTCCGGGTCGACCCCTAGATCAGCCATATCAACTCGCAGATGGAAATGATATTCACAGCAAACGGTGACATGCCATAAGGTGTTCCCATCGTAATCGGTGTGTGTTGGGCTCAGCCCAAGCTCGATCAAATGCTGAAACAATTTGTATCGATCGTCGGCGGTTACTAGAAATAACAAGTTTCTGCCCCGCTTGTCAAGAATGTCGAACCTGCACCCGGACTTGACCATCTTATCAAACACCTTCTTGCAATTGTGATCATTTTGCAATACCGTGACTGCTTTGAACAGTGGGGTACGCCCCTCTCTGTCTCTTGCCTCTGTGTCCAAACCAGCGTCGATTAGAGCACTGAATATATCGTCTTGAAACCCCTGATATTCCATGGTATGCAATGGAGTGTCCCCTGCGGCATTTGCGAAGTTTCCGTTGCCACCTGATGCTCGAAGCGCTTTGATTAGACGCCCGCCTGCGTCCCCTTCGCTGGGGAACCTTGTGGCGGATGCAAGGTGAAACGCACTATTACCCTTGTTGTCCACTGCTGAAGCGTCTGCACCAAATTCCAGTAAGAGGAGCGCTTTCTCTGCAGCAGTGCTTTCCGCGTAAGTGTGGCTGAGCGTCTTGAGCAATGGGGTGTAGCCTTCTTCGTTGGTTCGGATATTGACGTCAAGATTGGTCTCCTCCAACACAAGTCTGAGAATGTCCATCTTAGTGTGACCATGCAATAGCGTCTCGCTAGCGTCGTTGGCGACAGTGGGATCAGTGCCAGCATCTAGTAGGCATCGCATAGCGAGGACATCGTATGTGTATGCAAGTGCTGTATTCCCTTTGCTATCAACCTGGTTGACGTTCGCGCCCGCATGGAGCAGAAGCTTGAATCTAGATGCATGAGCTACAGTCAGCAATGACTTTCAGCCCAGTGAGGAGGTCGGGCGATGACACTCCCAGATTGTCGAGTGGCAGCCAGCTCCCGTGGCAACTCAACGACAAATGACGACGGGCAATACTTACGCTTCGATGGATGATTCCGGATCGCTCTTGTCAAACCTCACGTTGATGCGGTAGCTCCAAAGACCGCCACCCACGCACACATCCCCTCCACTCGCCAGCGCAAACAGAGCGGTATATCCACGCTCGGTTGAAGGTTTGGTGCTTATGGTCGGCTCGAAATCCGACTCATTCAATATGTCACTGCTACTCCAGCTGGTGGTGTGGGGGCGAGGACGAAACACCTCGCGACGTCTGGAGTCGTGGTAAACAATGTTTGGGTTAGCACCTGCATGAAGAAGAAGCTTGATGATCTTCGGATTCCGGCAGGCACATGCTGTGTACAGCAATCTGTGATTCTTCCGAATGGCGTCCACCTTCACCTCAGGATGCTTTAACAGAAGTTCAACAATCGCCGCACGTTTCCAATTCACCGCTTCTTCGAGCGCTTCATGAACCTGGTCGGAGGTATGGATAAACGGGAGGATCGCGGCCATTGCCTCGAAATGCCCATTTCGGCACGCCTTGGTAATTGGAGTTCCGTTTGGTTCCAGGCCGTAGTCGTAGAAGCCGTCTGCCTTTCCTGGCGGGCAGAACGGATCTGCACCAGCTCTGAGAAGCATGGTGACCGCCCCAGCCTGGTTGTTTTGTGCTGCGGCGTGAAGGGCGCGGTAACCATCTTTATTTCCCTCGTTAAAGTCTGCACCATGGTGTAGCAGCAGCTCTATAATATCGTCGTATCCCTTTTCTGCTGCGCAGTACAGCGGGGGCTCCTTCATTTTTCCCCTGTTTGGATTTGTACCGGGCCGCAGCAGAAGCGTTTCGGTGTACAGGGCCAGCCCGAGGGAGACGGCCGCGAAGAGTGGCGTCACGTTGCGACAGCCGACACGCGCAAGTGCCGACCAAGTTTGGAATCTCTCTCCACGCCAAAGGTCGTCGAGAATCTCATTGACCTCGGCCTGGTCCACTCCGGCTAAGGCGGCTTTCCTGGCATGCACGAACCAGTTCATCGTAGCATACTTCGCAAAGGGTGGCAGAATGTAGTGTCTCTCTAGCTGGCCTCTGTCATCATACGGATAACTGGAGAACACGACGTCATCGATACTGCCGGACTGGAGATGGGCAAGACAGACAATAGCTAAATGGTTATGCGTCGGTCCATATTCGAGGATCGGAAAGTCTTCAACTTTCGCCGTTCGAGTTGAGCCATTCAAGAATTCCGTTAGTGAGTGGTGTACCACCGAAAGCGTTTCGTCTGGTAGAATCTCCACCAAAGGCCCACATGCGGAACGTGCGAGGTCCTTTGCAGCCTTCAGGTTTCGCTGCCCTTCTGGAAAATGCGTGATGTTGATGGAACCTGCGAGCTCAAGGAGACGCAGTGGACGCGTGGCATGTGTGACCCATTGCAGTATCAAGAGCTGGACGTCGTGAGGCACATTAGCTCGTTTGCAATGTTCTCTCAGGAGATCGGTATACATGACGTTGAGATCGGCAGGCAAGTTCGACAGGACCTCTTCCGGATTCGCACCAGGCTCCAGAAACTCGTCCATGGCGAGCCGTGCGTAAAGGAACAACCCATTAGCCCTACCTGGAATGGCCTCTTTGATTGCTGCATGATGTTCGCTTGGTATGGAAGACTCGTCTAATTGACGCTGAACGTACGTGGCAATATCGATGTCTACCTTGGCCTCATCGAGCCGAATATGCAGCAACTTGACTTGCCTTAAATGGATCTCGACGCTATGAACCGGTCGGCTTGTGAGAATGAGCTTGACTTTGGACGGTCTCCATGCTCCCAGATCGGCCAACGAGTGCAGGAAAGAGATCATCTCCGGGCCTTGATTCAGCTCGTCCAGGGCATCAACCACACAGTACACCCTCGGAAGGTATAACATTGACATGCGCAGAAGGCCCCAGAAGTCTGCAGTCGATACGCTCTCAAGAGACCGGGAAGTCTTCACGTATTCAAGCAAGGCGGCTTGTAACGGAGGACTGTATGCCAGAATCTGGCATAGCCAATCCCGAACCGCCGACAGAGGCGTATGGTTGGCGTCGATGATTTGCCGAAAGAAGAAGTAAAGGACCGGAACCTTCTCCTGACTCAGCCAGTCTGCCAGAGTGGCGGCCATGACTGATTTTCCTGAACCAGGAACCCCTTGAGGCTATGGTTAACAGCGGACCGCATGGGATACAGAGCCACCCGCAAGTACCTCGAATCCACAATATGCTCATATCCTGGCTTGAATGCCACTCCTCATATGTCAGCGATGACAACAGCCATGCGCCCGTTCCCGCTAGATGTGATGAGAGATGCTTCTTATATTCGCTGTCGCTGTCGTCGTAGGAGGTTGGCTGAAGCCATGTCCGGATCTTGGCGATGTTTTCAGGGCTTTGAGGTAGGACATTATCTTCGTTGAAGTCGCTGACATCATCCGCTCCGAGAAGCACAGCATCCTGCTCCCACCCGATGTCTGGCATGACCTCCATTTGTGATGTTTTCAAAACGTAGATGTATTGTTGTCCTCTATTCTAAAGTAACTGGCTTAGGCAGCAGCAACCCCGCAGGGCGTATCTTGGCGCCTCACGGGATACAAGATTTTCTTTACCCCCTTGGGCGCATCCCTGCACTATTGTCTGTCTATGAAAAATCTACATCAGCTTTCAGATGGGTACAAACAACAGCGATTTAGCGACAAGAAAAACCCACGCCACCTGCTCAGAAACAGAACCAGGACCCAATTCTCTTCACTCTGCTAACCCACCCCTTCTCTTCGGGTTCGATATCTTCTTTCGTATACACATCTGTCTCTAAATCCATCTCACTTGCCCTCACAAACTTTGTTCGCTTGATGAGCTTCCACACGATGATCATAAGAACAAATACGGGTAATTCGAGGTAATAGCTGACAAAGTCGACTGAAGAAAATTTCGGACTGAAAGAGCTCCATCCTTGTACAAGTACGATGAAGATGTTCAGCGACACACAGAGGATGGGACCCCAGGGGTACGTCCAGTTGCGGAAAGGCAGAAGGTGCTCCTTGCCTTGCGCTTTGAGCCCGGCGCGGAAGCGCAAGGACGCGATGCCGATGCATATCCAGCTGAGTTGATTCGAAACGCCGACGAGGTTTTGCAGCCACGTCCAGAGCTGGCCGGACCCTGCAAAGGAAAGCGAAAAGAGCACAATGGAGACCACGCTTGTCGTGACCACCGCTACCCAGGGCACCTGGTAGCGCGTCAATTTGGTGAAGAATTTCGGTGCGTGTTCGTTCACGCCGAGCGTGTAGAGCAGGCGGGTGCCGGCGTAAAGCGCGTGGTTCCCTGCAGAGACCACGCTCGTTATGACGACTGCGTTGACGTATGAGCCAGCTGCTTTCGAGCCAGCCATCTGGAAGGCGATGGTGAACGGAGAGGTGCGGCTGGACTTTGTGTTCAGGCCTGGGTAGTCGTACGGAATGTTGAGACCGATCATAAGTGCGGACAGAATGTAGAACAGTAGGATACGCCAAAAGACGTTCTTGACTACGCGCGGAAGAGTCCTCGCGGGATCGCGCGTCTCTCCCGCCGTGATGGCGATGGACTCGGTGCCGCCGTATGCGAACGAGGCCGTTACAAATACCGATGCGAAGCCCCCAATACCGCTGACAAAGGGCGCGTCCCCGTGGGTCCAGAATTTTCCGCCGATATATCCATATCCTTGGTTGCCGCCGGCATTTACCGCGATACTCAATATGATGAAGATGATAATCGTTACAACCTTGAGTAAGCTCAACCAGTACTCCAATTCACCGTACGCTTTCACGTTGATGATATTGGCCAGCACAATAAGCACCCAGACAATAATGCCGAGTGCATACCAGGGGAAGTCATCGGTCCAGTACTGCACGAGTAGCTGTAGCGCGACTAGATCCGCGGCCGTTGAGACAGCGTCGTTGAACCAGTAATTCCACGTCAAGGCGAACCCCAGACATGGGTCAACATAGCGGCCAGCGAAGGTACAAAAGGATCCCGCGACGGGCACGAACGCCGCCATCTCACCCAACGAAAGCATCGTCACGAACACGATGCCGCCAACAATGGCGTAGCAGAGGAGAAGGGACGCCGGACCGCCCGTCGCCAGTGCCTTTCCTGTTCCAAGGAAGAGTCCCGTGCCAATCGTGCCGCCGATGGCGATCATCTGGACCTGGCGCGCAGATAGCGAGCGGCGCAGGCGGTCTTCCTTGATGATGTGCGCATGGTGGGTGCGGTCTAGCGACGCTGGCGAGCCGCCGTGGTCGTATGCAGTCTTCTCCGGGTCAATGGAAGCCATGCTTTGGAGGTCAGCGAGGCGCTGCGATGGCGGGAGGTGAGTGGTAAGTTGAGCAGCGAAGGCTTCTGGGTGGTGCGACGGTTTTCATGGCGAAGCTCATGTTGCCCAGGATCATGTTGAGGCATCATTAATCACGAAGATCTGCTAGCGCGAATTGGCTGGTATGAAATGCACCGTGGTCATGTAACATAGCACGCAATATCGTAGAGGAGGTATTGGCTGGTTGATCCGGAGAAACACTAACCGCATCGGGCTGATCACCTTCCCTTTATGGGCATGTACAGTAGGGTCACGTACATACCTAGACCTTACAGGCCATCAGGAACTTTTCTTAAGGGCTTCCGCTTAGCAGTATTAATGTGTAAGAACTGTAAGATTTAGGACTATATTAACTAATAAAAGATTTGTGTAAAGATAGGATAATAGGTAGCGTATACTATAGGCAAGTTGCTTATACACCTAAGTTACTTACTTTTACTAAGACCCTACTAAACTACCCTTTCTATACTAATGCATTCCTAACAACACTACTTAGTGTAACAGCGAAGGCAAGACAATGGATCCGAATGCAGTATGAATCCACTCAGAGGCATACAGGAGTGCGTAGGGACTTAGAAACCTACGAATTCTATTAACACCTATAGGCCTTATATAAAAGGATATTAGAAAACTACTAAGCTAAGAGAAGAGGTGCAACTAAATACTTAGAAGAATAGAGGTAACTATAAGGAACAGAGTTAAGTTAGGGTTAGAGCTAATATAAGAACCCTTTAGATAGGTTCTAAGCAATCTAAGATAAAATAATTTATAAGAATTATTACACTAGCGTACTTCATAGGCGAGTTGCTTACACACCTAAGTGTAACGGCGCAGGCAAGACAATGGGTCCGAATGCGGTGGGAGTCCACTCAGAGGCATATGGGAGTGCGTGGGGACTCTGAACCTGGGAATGCCATTGACACCTATAGGCCTTGTACAAAAGGATATCAGAAAACTACTAAGCTAGCTACAGGGGCGAGGTGCGACTAAATACATGAGGGAATAGGGGTAACTGCGGGGGACTGGGTCGAGTCATGGTCGGGGCCGATACGGGGACCCTTCGGATAGGATCCGAGCGACCCGAGATGAAACGATTCGTAGAATTGTTACACTAAGTTGCTTACTTTTGCTAAGACCCTACTAAACTACTCTTCCTATACTAATGCATTTCTAATAACACTACGTAGACGCGCTAAAAGAACATTTAATATAGCTTATACTTTAAGCCTTTAAAAAAAACATAACACCTTTAAAGAAACATGCTATAGCTATATGTAAAGTTTTTTAAAAAATAATAAATAACTAAGGTACTAGATAACTTTTATAAGCTAATTCTACAGCTAACTTATAAAGGCTAAGTAATAATAAAGAGTAAGTAATTATTAAGAACATACTTAGGCTATATGCGTAAGAAGTTTCCCTTTAAATAACATTTATAGCTAGTCTAGCTAATTTTTTACACGCTAAGCATAATCTAGGCTATATTAGTATAAACTAGCTTAGTATGTTTATAAAGTGTTATCTAAAGCTTAAAGTAAAGTTTTAAGTATAAGTATAGTTAATAAATATTTAGCTTATTATAAAGCTTATTTTACTAAAGTTGTACATGTTATCTTTCTAGATGCTATACTTAGCTTTAATATTCTCTATAAGGCTAAACTAGCCTTAAATTACTCTAAAACTCTTATAAAAAGCTCTTTTATAGTTATACTTATGCTTAAACTTTACTCTAAGCTTACACTTTACTTTAAGCTTAAAATAACACTTTACAAACATACTAGGCTAGTTTACGCTAACATAGCCTAGATTATGCTTATTGCGCAAAGAATTAGCTATATTAGCTATAAATGCTATTTAAGAGGAAAATCCTTGCGCATCTAGCTTAAGTATGTTTTTAATAATTACCTACTCTTTATTATTACCTAGCCTTTATAAATTAGCTATAGAATTAGCTTGTAAAAGTTATCTAGCGCTTTAGTTATTTATTATTTTTTAAGAAACTTTATATATAGCTGTAGTATATTTCTTTAAAAGTTTTGCGTCTTATTTAAAAGCTTAGAGTGTAAGCTATATCTAACATTCTTTTAGCGCGTCTAAGTAGTGTTGTTGTAACAGCACAGGCAAGACAATAGGTCTAAATGCAGTAGAAATCCACTTAGAGGCATATAGGAGTGCGTGGGGACTTAATAACCTAGGAATTCTATTAACACCTATAGGCCTTATACAAAGGATATTAGAACACTACTAAGCTAGCTAATAGGAGAGGTGCAACTAAATACTTAGGGGAATAGAGGTAACTGTAGGGGACAGGGTTAAGTTATAGTTAGAGCTAATATAGAGACCCTATAGATAGGTTCTAAGCAACCTAAGATAAAATAAATTATAAAAATTATTACACTACTCTTTTTTTATAAGCTAATAGTCTTTATTTATAGTGTATAAGAAATATTTAAAACTAATTTAGAATTAATTTAGATAAGATATAGCTAAGTATTAACTTTTTAATAAAAAAAAATTTATTACTAAAAAAAATAAACTAAAAACTTAATACTAATATAATGCCTTTATTATAATATTTTTATTTAGTAGTAACTAGTAGTGTGGTTATTAATTAGGTGAATTTATTATTTATAGTAATAAGTGTTTACTTATTTTACTTATATAGTCTAGTTAATATTATTAATCTTTTTTTTTAGCTATTATTAAATTTTTACTATGCAAGTATTCTTATATACTTAATATTTTATAGCTTAGTCTACTAACTATACTTATAGTATTAAAGAAAACTACTAAACTGCTTTACACTCTTTCTAGAGCCTCTTTAAAGGCCTTTTAAGTTATTTACTTTTAAGCTACCTACGCCTTTACTTATAGCTTTTAGGTTAAGTTTTTTTTTAGTTTTTTAAATTAAGAAAATATAAGTATTACACCTTATATAATAAAAAATGTAACTTAATGTAAATATAGTTTAATACTACTAGGGTATAGTTTACTAACATATGTGTAGGTTTTTTTATATTATAAAAATAATTTTAGTTCTTTAAAGCTATCTTAAGCTATAAGCAGCAGCTTAAAATGTAAGAAGTAAAAAACATAAAAAAGAAGCTTTTAAAGCTATTTTAAAGTTTACTAAGAACCTAGTGTAAGTAGTGTAAGTTATAAAGAGTTAGAAAGCTAGTCTTCCTGTAGCTAGTGTCTAGGTAGCCTTATTCTACTAAAATACTAAGCTGCTCTGTTAGGTTTTAGCCTTAAAGGCTTTAGTGTCTAACTTTTAAGTAGACATTATAGCGCTCTTAAGTAGCTGAGGATAACGTAAAAGAGGTTTAAAAAAAGTCTAAAGAGGAGAGAGAAAAAGAAAAAAGGTAGAAAAAAAAGGTCTAAAACTGTTTAACAGCTTACTATTAGACCTCTCTAGCGCAATGTCTATAAATGTATAATACTATTATATATAACTAGAAACTAACTTTTTTCTTTTATACTTTATTATCTGCTAAGTAATCTATGCCTTCTACACTAGCTTTAAAAGCCTTAATCTACTTATATAAGGCCTTTAAAGGTTCTAGCTAATTTAGATACTTATTATAAAAAGCATTTAGTTTATAAAAAGAACCTATAAAATTTAAAGCTATATATAAGACTAAATTAAAGTTGTGTTTTAACTTGTTAGATTGAAGCACTGTTTCTAGGCTTCCTGAGATGAATGATGGGTTTGGATATGATGTATGGGATGATTGATTGATTGTGTTGATTGTCTTCATTTATCGATCCTTTTTCTGCTCTACTCGTGTTGCTCGGCTTTTTGTTTTGCCGATCCGAGTCCCTCGCGCACTTGCCCTATGCGCGACCAGCTTGCAAAATGCTGCAATTTTCTGCAATTTGCTGCAAACTGCTGCAACATGCTGCAAAATGCTGCAAAATGCTGCAATTTGCTGCAAAATGCTGCAACATGCTGCAACATGCAGCAATTTGCAGCAACATACTGTTCGAGCTTATTGCTCGTACTATGTAGCAGCTTTCGTCAAGCGTTCCACCTGTCTTGACAGTAGGTGCGCAAATCTAACATAGGTAGTAGAGATAAGTCCTACTTTAAAAGTTAATTTGTTAGAGAAGTAAACACATTTAAAGTTGTTATTACCTTAAGTTTTTATGTAAGCACTCTAGCAATAATAATTAAGCTTATAGAAAAGCTTAAAGTAGGGCTTAGCACACAGTTCAAATGCGTAGTACTTATTTTTTTATAGGTATTACTTTACTATATTAACATAGATTGCAGTTGTTGTTTTTCTAAAAGTAGCAAGTTGTCAGATATGCGCACCTACTGTCAAGACAGGAGGAACGCTTGACGAAAGCTGCGACATAGTACGAGCAATAAGCTCGAACAGTATGTTGCTGCAAATTGCTGCATTTTGCAGCATTTTGCAGCAAATTACAGCATTTTGCAGCATTTTGCAGCATGTTGCAGCAGTTTGCAGCAAATTGCAGCAAATTGCAGCATTTTGCAAGCTGGTCGCGCATAGGGCAAGTGCGCGAGGGACTCGGAGCGGCAAAACAAAAAGCCGAGCAACACGAGTAGAGCAGAAAAAGGATCGATAAATCAATACAATCAATCATCATCCCATACATTACATCCAAACCCATCATTCATCTCAGGAAGCCTAGAAACAGTGCTTTAATCTGACACAAGTACTTTGTACATTTTAAAGGAAAACTACTTTAGGTGTTGTACTAATTATTACTTTAGGCGCTTATTAAGCTTTAGAGGTTTCTTTATGCAACAGGCCTTTTTCTAGAGCTTATCCTTACATTTTTATAACCACTTAAGTATTAACTTAATTAATAGGATTAGAATAAGAAAAGTCTTTTCTATCTTTAAGAGGCTAAAACTAATATAAGAGAGCGCCTAGATGCTAGTAAGGGTAGGCTTATTGTATTCACAGTAAGCAGTTTTAGGTTGGGAAGGCATAGTAGTAGTGTGGAGAAGGAGGAGAACAAGTGGTGCGGAAAATTTTAAGGTGTGTGGGTTAACCCAATATAGTAATTAAGC